GGGGAGGAGCGCGAGGGGGCGAGTCCCGGGTAGGCGAGGAGATTGGGGGGCGGGGAGCGGGGTCCAACGCAAGAGAGAGGGAGGTGGAACAGGGAGGGGCGGGGTGGTGTTCGCGTCCTCAGCCCGCGGTTACCACAGTCTCGAGCTGGGTCAGACTCAGTCAGGAGGAGGCAAAAGGCCGCGGTGAGGAAGTGACCTAAGGAACGGCTGCGCTCGCGCCAGTTTTCCCGCCTCATCTGAGAAGAACCAATGAGCTTCAAGTGCCGCTTCTTGCCTCCGAGGCAACCGACCAATGAGTTTCAAGATCCTTCCCTGACGGCCCACCCTTTACTTTCGGTCCGCTTCTACTCGCGCGGGACTAGCAGGCCAACCAATAGCGCGTCGAGTTGAGACTCGCGCCTCTTTCCCCTCCCCCCTCTCCCAGTGGCTTGCCTTTCCAGATTGTTCTTCCCGTTTTGGGCAAGGTGGCCAATGGGGCTTCGAATACGGCTTTCAGGACGAGGCTGGCCCCACCCCCCAGGAACAGCCAGCCCAGCCCACCCCCTGGCGTTGACCCGGGTGCATTTGCGCAGACGCGGTCTTGCCCTCTGGCCTGGACTGCGGCTCCGCGCTTCGTGTGCTCTCGGCCTCGGTGCTGGACGGCTCCTCTTCGCTGCGTGGACTCACGTGTTTTCTCTCATTTCTCTCCCGGTGCCCCAGCTCCCGACCCACCCTCTCCTTTTGTGCGCTCCCCACCCTGTGAGCTCCCTGTTTCCTTCCCGAGCCTCCCCAGACTGCGCCTCTTTCCTGTGTCTCTTCTGGCCCGCGTGGGTGCTGATTTTCCTAACCTGGTTTTCCAATTCTCTCGGAGTCTCTGCTTGTCCATAATGCTCACTTTCGGACTTCCTTTCTCCTCAGGCCTCAGCCCCTAACGGCCCGGCCCCGTCCGCACTGCCTCCACTTCCTAGCCGCCTCCGGAGAGCGTCCATCTTTTCGGCCCTTGCCCCCCTTTGTGTGCGCCTCCCTCCCAGGCGGCCCGCTCCTCGGCCCTCCACCCTGTAATCGGGTGTCTCTGTTGGACCGTCTCACACTTCCCTTCCAGTCCTTGCTGCGCTGTCCACGCTTCTCTGTGTTCTGTCCCGTCTCCTTTTCTCTCTGCCACCCTCAAAGAAGGCCTGCGCCTTCCCTCGCCCCTGGGACCCTGCTCTTCGTGCCCGCTCCCCGTTTGCTCTCTGCTGGTTCTCCTGTCTGCCTGCAAGCTTCCATTCCATCAGCTGCTCCTCCGTACAGTTTCCCTTCCTCAGTCGCCTCCAACCGCCACTTAATCCCTTTCTCCTCGAGGATTTCATTCCAGTTGTTTTTTTTTTTCTTTTTTTCTGGTTTTGTCCCCGCTTTTGCTCAGGTTGTTGGCACCTGTCGTTTTGCATTCGGGGCTGGTGTGTGCTGTCTCCTCGGATTGGCTCGATCTCTTTGTGTGATCCTTTGTCAGCCTTCATTTCTCATCCCTGTGTCCCTGTTGTGTGTGTCTTAGTCCTTTCATTTGCCAAGATTTCTGGGAGACACAGCCTGTGTGTCAGGCATTCTGGACAGAAAAGGGTGGCAGTAGGGGACCTCTAGCTGGACTCCTGTGCAGGCCTGCAGTCCTGGACAAAGTTAGAAAGGTTGTTTGGGACCAATCTAGGGGCCACCGTGGGGTGGGGGTGAGTGGGAGGCTTGAAACCAGCTAAAGAGCTTGACTTTGATTCTTTAGATAGTGGAGGGGGGGAGGGGGAGAGAAGACAGGTGAACCACTTATGGAGAGCTTAGCACTTGCCTATTTATGTTAATAATTTTATTTTTTCAACAATGACCCTACAAGATGCATCATTAATCCGCTTTATGAATGTGCCCAACAAATTGCACAAGGTTGCACAGCTAATAAGTGGAGGGTGAAGGTTCAAACCTTGGTCTATGGACTTTGTACCACCTACATTTAAAAAAAAAAAAAAATCTTTATTGATTTCAGAGAGAGGAAGAGAGAGGGAGAGAGAGATAGAAACATCAATGATGAAACAGTCATTGATCGAGCCCACAGCCCGGGCATGTGCCCTGACCGGGAATTGAACCCCGATCGCCTGGATCCCACGTCCATGCTCAACTGCTGAGCCACGCCCGGCTGGGCCACCTACATTGTTTTAGTTATTTCCAGTAACCCCCACTCCTTACTCTCATCCCCTAACCCTTCCATAGGCACTCATTTCGGGTGGCCAATGCATGCCTTTTGGTTTGTGTGTGTTCTTGCAAGACTTGCAGCGTTTTATGTGCATGAGGCTTTGATTTATGCAAGTGACAGTTGTATTGTTTACTATTTAAAATAATTAGACTGTGCTTTTATGATCCATCCTGTACACGTTATGTGTACATATAATGTGTTTCTTCTAACTGCTGTGTGACATTCCGTGGTGTGCATCCTCTGTGTGTTGAGTGTTGACTAGGTCTCTGGGAAGGGTGCCCACATTGCCTTCAACTTACTGCCACCACAACAGTGCTGCAGCCTCGTACGTGTTCTATTGTACACGAAGGCGGAAATCTGTTATGTACACCTAGGATACACCAGAAATGGGTATTTTTAAACCTAATCTAACTGATTATTGCCAGAGTCCTCCCTGCAATGGTGCTTAGGGCCTGAGACACTGATCAGAACTCTCCTCTGGTCCTCAGAGTCCCTATTCCACCCACCCCCTAACTACCCAATGAGATGCCATGCACCGGGACCTCTGTACCCCTACATTCCTGCCAACGCTTGTCTGCTTCCAGCTTTCTGATCTTTTGCCAGTCTGATGGATGTACAGTTTGGTATATTTCACTTCTCTCATTATTGTGGGTTCGAGTGTCTCTTCGTTCTTCTGAGAACTGCCTCTTCGTGTGCTTGGCCCATTTTCCTGCTGGGGTTGCTCTGTTTTTCTTGTCAATTTGCTGGAGTTCCTTGGTCATTCTCATTGGTTTAAGACATTGCATTTACTCTCCTCTGCCTGTTCTGGCATTTCCTATCATTTTAGAAATTATCTACTTCATCTGGGTTTTCACATTTATCAATGTAGAGTTATTAATGATGCTTTTATTATTTTTAAAACATCTGGTGCCTGCCACTTCCTATTTTTCATTCTGCATTTTATTTACATGTTCTCTTTTTCTCTTAATTGGAATGGCTGGTGAATTATTTTAATTTGTCAAAGAATGAATGCTAGTTTTTTGTAATAATTTGTGGTTTTCTATTTTATTGATTTCTGCCATCTTTATTTCTATCCTTTTTTGAGGAGCGGGATGCTTTGTTGCTTCTTACATAACTTTTTGAGTTAATTCGTGAACTTTTAAAAAAATCCTCAGCTGAGGATATGTTTTTATTGATTTTTTTAGAGAGACAAGAATGGGGAGAGAGAGAGAGGAGGGAGGGAGAGAAACATCGATGGGTTGCTCATGGTACATGTCCCAACTGAGGATGGAACCAGCAAACTAGATATGTGCCCTGACCGGGAACTGAATCTGCAACCATTTGGTGTATGGGATGACGCTCCAACTAACTGAGCCACCCGGCCAGGGCCATGAACATATATATATATATATATATATATATACACACACACACACACACACACACACACACGTATATATATTTAAATATATCTCTATTGATTTCAGAGAGAGCACAGGAGAGGGAGAGAGAGATAGAAACATCAATGATGAGAGAGTCATGATTGATTGGCTGCCTCCTGCACTCCCCTGACTAGAGATCGAGCCTGCAACCTGGGTATGTGCCCTGACCGGGAATTGAACCCCGATCGCCTGGATTCTAGATCGATGCTCAACCGCTGAGCTATGCCAGCCAGGCCATGAACATATTTTTAATGCTTCTTGTTTCTTGATAAATATAAAGCATAAATTTGCTTCTAAACACTGCTTTAGATCTGGCCCAAATTTTGACGAGTAGTTTAAAGCAAACATTTGATGTTGAAATTATTGGGAACTCATAGGAAGCTGCAAACGTTGTCGATACAGTCCCTTAAACACTCCTCCTTCTTCCCCACAGGGACGTCTTATACAATTGGAGTTTATAAGAAGGAAATTGACATTGGTACAATACTCTTAACTAGACTACAGACCTCAATTCAGTTTTACCAGATTTTACAGGTACTTGTGTATGTGTGTGTGTGACATGTAGTATGTTCAATAGTGTTCAGTTCTAAATATTTCTAAATTTCCTTTTTGAACCAAGGATTATTTAGTAACATGTCAGTCAACTTCCACATGTACATTTGTTGTTCCGATCTCATTGTCTCTGGAGAATAGCGATTTTTGAATAAGCCAGTATCCTCTGCTCAACACCCGGTCTAATGGGAAGGACCTAAGCAGGGGAGTGAGAAGCTAATGTGGTGGGTCCAGGTTAGGTTGGAGGGGAGACTATGGAGATGAGACCTGTGTCCCTGAAGGCCTCAGGGAGCCTATGCCACAGAAAATGATAATCAATTTTCTGCTCGAGAAACAGTGACCCAGAGGCAGGTGACAGAGAATCCAGGGACTGACAAGAAGCAAGCTTGAGACCTAGACTGAAACTGGTTCCAGACTGATCTCTGTGGCATCCAGGACCCTGACACAGCACCATGGGACCTCAGCGTTTGAGACCTGTGCAGCTACTCTGCCTCCTCGGGGCCATCTCCGCTCTGCCCTGTATGTTCTATGGTGCCGGATGCTTTGGGACCCCCAGAGGGATGGGGGTGGATATCTGTGTTCCTCAGGGGACAGGATCTGTGTAGGCTGAGCTCTTGCTTGGCAGTTCTGGGGCGGTGTAGGTATTGTGAGGGACAGATAACTGGAAGATTGTTCTCCGTTTAGGGGCTGGGGCTCTTTTGTGCTATGAAGCAACATCCTCACGCTTCAGAGCTGTTACTTTCCGTGACTGGAAATGGTTACTGCTGCGGAACACGGTGTGCAGGCTGAGTGAGGGCTGCGAGGAGACGCTGGTGCTCATTGAGACAGGTGAAGGGAAGCAACTTTGATGCTTTTTTTGGTGGTGGTTCTGACTCCTAGCTTTATTCCCAGCACCGAGGGACTCTGGACTAGAGTTCCAGATATTTACCACTCTATATATTTGGGAGTAATGTCAAGACACTGGTAGGAGTGGGGCAGGACCCAGCTGGTTGTGGTGTTGCTGGACAGGAGGTAGGCAGATCCCAGGAGGAGCAGGGCAATCTGGGGGTGAAGAAAGGATGGGGCACAAGGGGAGAGGAGCAGAGTGGCTCCTGTGGGGAGAGGAGTGGGGAGGAACAGATGGAGACCGACGTCTGAGCCTTGTACAGCTGCAGTGAGTGGACTGGAGGAGGGGCGAAGTCGGCGACAGGGCGTAGCGAGTAGGAAGAACAGGGTGGAGGGTGGGAGAGTGAACTCTGGCTGTGGACAACACCACTGATCTGAGCTCTCTAATCTCTGCTCCTCAGGGAACAAAAGAGGAGTCGTGGGTTTTAAAGGCTGCAGCCTATCGCTGTCTTACTCCCCACGTGTCTCCTACCTTGTTTCACCGCCTGGATTGTCCATTGCCTCCTATAGCCGTGTCTGCCGGGCATATCTCTGCAATGATCTCACCAACTTGGATCCTTTTGTGAAACTCCAGAGCACTCCCAAGCCGACAACATTTTCTTCCCTTAGTTGCCCAACCTGCGTGGGTGGGCACTCTACGGATTGCCTCCCAAATTTTGTCACCACAGATTCTTGCCCCGACAATGCCCATGTGTGTTACAGTTCCACCATGACATTTCAGGCAGGTGAGAAGAGAGAAACTTTACCAAATGCCTGCTCTGTGCCAGGTGCTGTCTGGTACCTTCCCATCTCTGAGAGAGGCTGGTGGGATCTGGAGAGGGGATTGGGGTTGCGGGCACCAGGTACATGAATTCCCAGGAGGAAGGTGCCTGGTGCCCAAGTCTTTGGTGGGAGAGCAGGTTTCCTGGCTTGTGAGGGGTGTCCGGAAGGAGGGGCAGGGCACCTGAGTCTTGAAAGTGTCCCTGACTCCTCCCTCTCTTCCTTGCAGGGTTTCTCAATGCCACCTTCCTCCTCATGGGCTGTGCTCGTGAACATCACAGACTGTTAGCAGATTTTCACCGTATTGGGACCATCAGAGTGACTGAGGTCCTCAACATCGTACAGAAGGCCCAGATGGCTGGTGCAGAGCCCTCCATTCGGGGTCCTGATTGGGCCATCCTCTCAGGCCTCCTGCTTGCCTTTAGGGATGGGTGATTTGGCTGGACCGGACAAATACCCAGACCCTTTTACATAACCAAATAAAGTCACAGAGTTGCCTTTGGGCTTTGTGCTGTGGTCCATGAGGGTTATGGAAGTGTAGAAGGTGTGAGGAGGGCCAGACATGACCATGGAGGTGGGGGGGTGGGGGAAGCAGCGGGCGGTGCTCATGGTGAAGGGAGCAGGAGCAGGGGGTGGAGGGAGGCGGCTGGCTGGCTGGCAAAGTGACAGTGTCATGCTCGGCAACCAGGAGGAACCCAAATACTCCTTTTCTCCTCCCACTGCCTCTGGGGACTTGAGAGCTAGCTTGGGTTCAGCCACTGACTTAGAAATCCTGGCCAAATCCCTCTCCTTTTCTGGGCCTCAGTTTCCTCCCCTTTAAAATAAAGCACTTTATGAATGAGAGCTGAGTCTCATCAGGATGATTTAAGAACATGATCACTTATTGTCTACTTGGTATGTGTCAGTTACTGTGCTAGTATTAGGATCTCATTTAAATCCTCACAAGACCTCAGTGAAATGGCTTCTATCCCCATTTTGGGAGGAAGAAATTGGTCCTTGGAGGTTAAATTATTTGCCCAGAGTAGAATCTCTCTTGCCTCCCCTGCAGATCTCTTTTCTTGCTGAGGGAATTTTGAGAAATGTGGAGATCTGAACTGCTTTCCTCTGCCCAGTAGTTGTTTCGTTGTGTAAGTTGGCAAATAAGGGGGAAAGAGGAAGAACAGTGCTGGGGGCGGTTTCTTTCCACCCAAACTTCAGGTTACCAAGCTCCTGAGAGGATGGTAGTGTAATTCCCATCTCTGGCCATAAGGGGGCAACAGATACACCACATTGCAATTTGATGCCTTCAAACTAGGGGTGTGTGTGTGTGTGTGTGTGTGTGTGTGTGTGTGTGTGGGCGCACAAGTGCCAGTTATCACTATAACAACATCCCCCTCGTTGTGTCTTTCTCCTGTAGAATAGAAACAAATGGCCTTTCCCACAGTCCCTTCTCATTCATTGCCTGTGCCCCGCTGCAGTCCGAGGGAAGAGCATCTCTGGGACCCTGTGTCTGCGGTGCTGACGGACCACCAGCTGGGGCTTGTGAGCTGTGAGCTGTGGTCTCGGAGCTGTGAGTTGCATCTGCTTTCTTTTCGTTGTTAACAATGAGCATGACTGATGAGGAGGAGATGGCAAGGGCTGCAGGAGTGTGGAGGGGCCTCTGCCTCCATCACAAGGGGCGTGAGGGTGCCGTGGGCATCACTGCAGGAACTGAGCCCACAGTCAGCATGACCAGGTCCAGGCTGCCCACAGGCCACTCCTGGGAAGGAAGCCGATGGACGCGCCCTGAGAGGTGTGACTGGGACAGGCCCCGAGCCGTCCAGTTCCTTGCCCCCAGACTCTGTGAATATATCACCTGAGGAGGGAGCTTAGAGATGAAAGGTCATGTGACCGAGAGATTTTGGTGGCTCATCGGTGGGCCCATGAGGATCGTAAGGGTCCTTTCCTCATGAAGGAGAGAGGAGGCAGGAGAGGCAGAGCCGGGGAAGGAGGTGCAATGAGGAAGCAGAGCATGGAGACTTCAGAAGGCTGTGCTGCCGGCGTTGAAGGTGGAGGAGGGGCCACGAGCCATGGGATGCACAGGCCTCTAACAGCTGCAAAGGCAAGGACACCAGAAAGAACCTACAGAAAGAACCGGCCATATCCACACCTTGATTTGCATTGTTGGACTCCGCTAAGTTTCCTACAGCAGCCGTAGGAAACCAATGAGAGGTGTCACCTTGCCTAATCCAACCCTGTGTGCATTGGGATAAGGAGTGACTTAGAGCTAACTCAGGATGTGAAACTTTGAAGGTTTGTTGCTGTCTCTCATCTAATGACAGACAATGCTCCAGCAACATGGGGCATCCTCCTGAACTGTGGCTTTGTGCCTGGGTGTTGGACCAACTTTGTTTGTGCGAATGTGAGCACCCTGATCCAAGTGAACCTACAGGGGAACAGCACCCATTCTGGGCCCCCAGGGAAGGACTGAGAACTGCTGGCCTAGGTGTGCAGAGGGGGCCACCCATGAGGCATGGATGGGGGAAGCCCATGGGCCAGGTGGAGGAGGGGACACTTTGTCCCGTGGCCATGGGAGCATGGGTGAGAATTAGTTTGGGGGAAGACCTGGGCTCTCATTTGTGGAAAAGAGGCCTGTTTCAGTGAGATCCGAATCAAGTAGGAAAGTGGAAACTGATGGGAAGGTGGGGCTGGAGGTCATGGATCAGCCAAGGAGAGCCTTGCTCGGGGCAGCCATCCTGGGTCCTCCCCACCTTGGTTACTCTGACAGACTCTGTGTCCCCCAGATATAATGATGTCCTGAGGGCTAGCCTTTGGGTCAAAGCAGAAACTCATAGACAGAGCCCAGCAGCCTGGATCCTAAATTTGGGGATAGGTAAGTTTATCTGTGGAGACCACTAGTTGAGGCCACCAGGGCCTGGGTGAGGAAGGAGGACAGGCAAAGGATACTGGGGGACTCAGAGGGGCCCCACCCACGATATGTGCCCTACCCATGGGTACAGGCAATGGCTCCAAAGAAGGATCCTTGTTTGTCTTTGTGAGGACACGATATGGCCCCTTTTCTGTGCTCCTGAGACCAGTGCCCAAGTGCAGAAGGGCAAACCCTGGGAGGTGTCCATGTGAGGACAGCCAAGAGCTCCCATGGCTGGGTTGCAGCCTCTTATCTCTGCCGTTCCTTTAGCCTGGCCCTCATCTCCACACTCACAGCCCTCCTCTCTCCCAGGACGCAGACATGGGGCTGAGGTAGCTTAGAGATAGTGTTTCCCTGTGTGACCCTGGAGAGAAAGGACCCCGAGTTTCAGGTGAATTTCTGCTACAAGAAGTTCCCATTAGTAGAAAAAGAGCAAAGGAAGGGAAGGTCCCCATTTATTCAGATCACTCAGGTGGTCCACGGTGGCTTATAGGCCCTGTCACTTTCTGGAAGACGGGAGCATTTATCCTGGTTCATCAGGGCTCAGGGGGCCTGTCAGGGTGTCCAATAATCAGGAGAGACCCTGACCTTGAACCCAGGTCCTGAATATCTTCAGGGCTCAGAGCTGGTTCTCTGGCTCAGGCTCCATCCAGTTCCCAACCTTCCCCACAGGGTCTGGGGTCTCAGGTTGTCCCTTCCCCACAGCACTGAAGGAGCAGGTCCTGGAGGAACTAAGAAGCCCCGTCTGCCCTGGGGTTGATCCTGCAGTACACGTCTGTGTTAATGTCTAGTAATTCCTGTGAAAGAAAGTAGAGACCTCTGAGCCCTGCTACCTTCTCAGAACCAGTGCAGCTTTTCACAGGTGCTGTGGGCACCTGACTGTGCAGGGGGTGTCTGTCCCCGGGCACCTCCCTCCTCCCTGCCCTCTGTTCTCACTTTTCGGTGCCCTTTCCTGAGCCTGGAAGCACAGCCAGGGCTGCGCTGGCAGCAGGTCCTGGGCCCCTGAAACCTGCAGGACAGAACATTCATCTCCCACACTCACCTCGTAGATGGGGCTGGCTGTCCTGGGGCCGGGTAGGGGTCCCTGTGCAGGGGGCAGAGAGAGGGCATCAGGGGGACAGGGAGGAAGGGTCATTTCTCCACAGGACTGATAGCTCTGCCTGGGGCGCAGCTGTCTTCACACCTGTAGCCCTGCACCAAATTCCAGTCCATTCTTCACCCCTGTCGCCTATGTTAGCCCAGGATCCCTGACTGGTGTTCCCAGCGCCCACTCTTCTCCAGGCTGGACTCCGGGGGGGTTCTCCTCAGGCCACCAAGGGGCCCAGGGCAGACTCAGGGCAGGGCATCTGCCCCCAGGCCGGGGCGGGGCTCAGCTTGTGCTGGCTGTTTTGGGGAAAGGAGCTGTGCTGTGCTGTGCTGCACAGCTGGCTGAAGGGACAGGGAGGGGAAGCACTTACCGGGAAGGAGGAGGTTCCAGAGGGACCCTGGCCTGGGAGCAGAGACAGGAGGAGTTAGCACCCAGGGGGTGAGGAAGCTTTGGCCCATTTTCCCTGGAGGGGATGGTTCCTTAGCTCCCAAGAACAGGGGTGAAAGAGTATATCCAGAGCGAGACCCTCTGGCCATTTTAGGGTCCAGGGAGGTGGAGGTGATGACACGTGACACAGCTCTTCAGGTCAAGTTGACTGGTGAGTCGGGGTCTCCTGGGCTGTGTGGTTGATGAGAACCCCTTTGAACCCCAGGGAAGGGCCAGAGCCTGAGGGGGGAGAGCAGGAGTGGACACTGGGGTGCAGGCCCATGGCCTCAAACCCCTCCCATTCTGAACAGATACTCACCAGGGGTGGACGCTGGGGGTGGGTGTTGTCTGAGGCCACTCGAGTCACTGACCCTAGGAAAGGTCAGACTTATTTGTGAGGGGTGTCAAGGGGGAGCTTTGGTGTCACAACAGTGGACAAGGAGGGTCTCCTTTTCCAGCAGAGGGTGGAGGCCTCGCTCCCTTGTTTAGGAGGGGGAGGGCCCAGGAGAGGGGAACTGAGGTAAGGCCTTAACAATCCAGGGCTGACCTGGGCCCAGAGGGGAAGGACCCACAGGCAGGTGGGGGTCTGGGAGGAAGTTACTGGGGAAGGGACTGAGGACCCAGGACAGGAACCAACCCGAGGGACTGACTTAGTGGAAAGGTCAAGGCTTTGGGGGGAAGCTGGGGCAGCTACAAGTTGCATTCAGATGCATATGGTGTCCTGCTGTGGCCAGACCCCCCCCAGGCCACCACAGCTAAACTGTGACAGTGGCCTGCCCTGTCTCATTCTGCTGAACCAGAGGCAAAAAGGACACCACAGACACTGGTGTCCTGTCTGGGCCCAGGTCTCCCACTTCCCACATCAGGGTTGTGGCTACAAAACCGGCCATGGGG